GTGGCCTGGTATGCTCGGTCCGAAAAAAAAGTAAAATTTTCGGCACTTTTTCCCAAAAAATTGCACAAAAACACCACAATTTGGCAGACGTTTAGCCCTCGTGTGGCCGACCCGTGATCAGCAGACCACTGAGAAATTAACCACAAGTTCGGGACACCTATCGTCAGATTGTATCAGATGGTGGACTCTGTTGGTCGTCGGGAAAGTGGCCAAAAAATGATCTACCAATTTGTTTTGTAAAACACTATTACTTTGCAATACATTATAATTATAACCATTTGTCACACAAATAGGTGTCCAATACCTGCACAACAAGAAAATCATTCACTGGAGTCTACATATGGGTAATATACTCATAGCCAGTTGTCCTACCGGTGCACCGGACAGGTATGTGGCGAAGATTTCGGACTTTGGGGGAAGTGTCAGGTACGGGGGTTTCGGGCGCGGGTATCTCTACGAGGAAGAGGATGAAGAAATGCTCTTTGCATATGGGATGAGGGCTGACCTGAGAAGGTTAGCCCAATCATTGTATGGTATATATGAACTTATGAAAGACAACCACCAGCCCATTCTATACAAACCTATACAAACCTATACAAACCTGGTCGTTTATATACTAAGACCGAAGCTTTGGTCTATAGTGAAAATATTGATGATTTTATTGACAAATGTGCCTAAGAAATGAATTGACAATATTTATACCATCAGAAATTATTGGGTAAATAAAATGTTAGTAAATAATTACTCTATTGATTGGTGTTTATAGTGGCAAATATGGGCCAAACGTATATCGGATTAATAGTGACATACATATGCTTTTTGGTGATTTGATTACTGTATTTAATCCAACACCAAGTGTTCAACCCATTCACTTTGTAGCCATGAATGAGTTATCCAAACAAATGAAAAGCAATTTTATTATTAAGTAATTCATTGCTTATGTATTGGAAATCCTTATTATTATGAAAACTTTTTAAAAGTTATGAATAAATTATGTGTAAACTCAAAGTCTATGAAAACTAAACGCTAATACAAAGCAATTGATTTATAAATACAAAACCATTAATATTTTTAGTAAAATTTTAATTTAATTTATTAGAAAATTTTACTAATTAATTAACTTTTATAAATATTATTTTATGGTCTAATTAATGAATTATTCATATTTGCAAATAGTAAAATTTTTCTAGCACATTTATTTAATTGATGTAAAATTAAAGATACAAATTAAACTTTGTAATTTTAATTATACAATATGTATAAATGTATAATTTATGCTCGCTCACAATCATAAGCCTTATAATCATTGCTACTATATTTTTGTGCATATTTAATTATGGGTTGAGTAACCCGAACAAATAATTTAATAACTGTGTTAATAATTATAAATAATTTTTTAACAGGTATACTTATGCAACATTTAAATTTTACGTATATTTCCCTACGAAATGATATATTGCTGTTAAGAACATAATGAACTATATTATATAATGATACAAGGGCATTTATACATTTTGATATTATTTTTATAAATATTATAAATATAACTACTATAATTATTATTACTAAATAAAGGGCAAGTTCAATTACGATAATTATTAATTCAGAAGAAAATGTTAAGATAAATACAATAATACCTAAAAACAAAGTAATTATTTTTCGAGGAATTGAAGGTCGTTTAATAGTGGGACCTGGATTCATTTCAAAATTATTTTTATTCAATTTCCAGTTTAGGTAATCAAATAAGAAATTATTTGGTTTCACTTCATTATCCTTATATTTGGTTAGACTTTTAAATTGTGTTAACATTTTGTCATTAATTTCGATGTTATGTTTGAACACACTTTCAAATTCAATGCACACATCGCTAGCGAGCATTGTTTCACCAGATTTTGATGTTTCAAATTTGTTAATAAACTCATCCATTTGGTCCATATTTATACCTAAGTCACGTGACAACTGTTTTCTAAACAATTTTAATCAAGTAATAAATTTAAAATATTTTTAACAATAATAATCAAGCTATAAGTTATAACTTACTTCAATATAATTTGTTTAAACAATTCATTAGCAAAGCGTCCAATTAATACAATATCGTTATTGTTTAATACGTTTTTATTGCAACGATTATATCCTTGGTATTTGCTTTCGAGGTTAAAAAATTTAAATATTCTGCCATATTTGCCATCATAATCAACAAGTATATATCCGGGTAGAATCGGGGCGTGAACTACCAGTCCATCGGTAGGGTCCGCGTACTTATCGTGCAATTCATGAACTAATTGCAAGTATTGTCGCATTAATTCATATGATATCACATAATCTATGCAAACCATAGCCTGGATATTGGTATTTGAAAATAATATCGACTTTTCGCTAATAATTTTCATCAGATTTAGAAAACAATAATCTGTTTGAATAAAAATGTATTTATTTTGAATCCATGCGTTAATATAATTAACACAATATTCCGGTTTTATAGTAAATATTTTCTTAATTTGTTTATACATTTCGCTCATATCTTGTAAATTATCTGAAATTAATTATTTTATTTATTTATTAATATTTCGTAGATATATAATATAAAATATTTTACCTGGCAGCTGTCTCTTAAGAACAAGGTAATTAGTCTTGTTAAGTTTATTACGAATCACGAAGTTTAGTGCGCCATCATTTGAAAATTGACGTTTTACAAAAATTAACCATGGACTGGCTAAAGTAGCATTATACGTACAATTAGGTTAATTGTTCAGTTACATTTTTATATAAAATATAATAATAATAATGTTTTTAATACCGTTATTATCCAGGTGTTGGCAACTGTCAATTTGGCAATAAAAACCTAAGCTTGCATATTGATGATAAAAATACTGACAATCGCTTTCAATTATATTTTCAATTAAATTTAAATTAGAATCAATTATAAAGTCTTTTAATTCAAGAAATTCAAGAAATTCAAGAAATTCATTTAATTGTGTCAAAACAGTCTCACATTCCGGACGATAATCCCAATCAGCTTTTGAATAACAATTAAATGCCATCCAAACTAATAATTCATATATTTTTTGTCGAAAATCTCCAATAATTTCTCTAATAAGTTCATCAGTAGTTGTAAATGAATTAAACCTATAAATGAGCATGTTACATTAATATTAAATTTATTTTATAATTACAAAATTATATATAACCTAAATTTTATGTTTAAATAAAAATTATTAAATGTTTTGGATATAGATAATACTTTAATCAATTATATTTAAATACATCAAAAAACTTACTTTCCATTTATTATATCATTTTTATCAAAACCAAAAATATCGGCCCCAATAAGTGCCAGACTATAGATATCTATCTTATGGTTATAGTGTTCACCCGTAGCTTCTGGTGCCATATAATCCATGTTTCCCACATCTGCCGTGTGTTTAGCTTTGGACTGACTATAGGAGTCGGTGTTTAAGACTTGTTTAGACAAACCAAAGTCACATAACTTAATATATCTCTTATTTTTATTATAGATATTAGAAACCAATACGTTATCGGGTTTGAGATCTCTATGAATGATATGATTTTGGTGTAAATATTGCACACATTCTGTCAACTGTTTGAACATATCGTATGATAAATAGCACTCAAAACTAGACATTAAATCTTCCGGCGATTGTCTGTTAAATAATTTTCTTTTCATTTCTAGTATTTTATCCAAAGAATTGAAACACAACTCCATTTGTATGTATAGATAGTTGTCTTCAATCCATGAACTGTGGTATTCAATCACATATTGCGAGCGAAGTTTCAATAGATTTTTCGTTTCATTTAAAACATTTTGTTTCTCCTTTTCTGTCAAACCTTTAAATATTTAGCAAATTGTTATAAATAGTAAATAATTATCAACGAAGTGAAAAAGTTAACCTGCTAAAATACACTTTTTGATGGCAAATGTGGTATTAGTCTCTCTGGCATTAACTTGATATACAATCCCATAGCCTCCTTCACCAAGTGTTGACTCAATCCTAAAAGTTTTATTAACTGTAAATGAATATTAAAATACAACATTTTAAATGGTAATCATGTACTCTATACTAGTAATTACTTTATACATACAATTATTTTGAATAATTTTGATATCTATTGTATTGTCATTTGTTGATTGGGATATAATATCTAAAATTTAAAAATTATTTATAAATAAACAAATAAAATATACATTATATGTAGATATATATACCTTTTATTTGCAAATTATTATCTTGCCCAATTGATTTTGCTTTTTCTCTAATAAATTGATATTCAATGTTGTTTACATTTGATATTAATTTTATTTCATTTTTAAATACTTCGTTGAGTTTTAAATATATATTGATTATTAAATCCTTCAAGGTAACATTTCTAAAGTCGCTGTTTACATGAAATAATAGTTCTTCATAAACCATCCAGAATATTTTTCTACATAATCTCTCTAAATGTGCAAAAAATACTTTTGAACTAGATAAAAATAAACAAATTAGTAAATAAATAAATAAAATTTTAATTATAACTTACTTTTTACTGTCATTATTTCCAAATAACGACTTCATTGCGATTATTATATGATTAATTGCATCTGTTAATTCAGTTTCAATTTGTGCCCTGGGCATATGTTTAAGATGCACAAGGTTAGTTTTATTTTCAATAAATATCTCATTGGATAAAGGTATGTGCAATATCTCGTTAAAAACAAAATCAATTAGTTCACTTAAATTTATATTATTTAAAAATATTATTATATTGGGAGCTATACTGCCCTGGTCAGTGCGCACACTATGAGACGCGTGCTTTCGATAAATATAAACACCAATGTCAATTAGTTTAAGTGAAATTTTTTCAAAAAAATTTGGATCAAAACCGCTCAATATCTCTTCATGCTCTTCTGGTGAATGTTCTTGGTAATATTTTAAGAAACCCGCACTATCCAATTCTTGATATATTAAATTTGCTACAATATGTGGACAATTGCAGTTGAGCGAGGTCGAATTGTTACATTCATAAGATAATTGTACCCTTTTGTTAAGTAAACTACCTGTAAAATTATAGTTTAATGTCTATGCTTGCTTATTAGTTATTTAATTATTTTTATCCTTTATATACAAAATAATATTCTTACCGATTGTTAATTGTGATAGCTTATTTGCAATTTCAAATCGACTTAAATTTCTGACTTAAAATTTATATAAATATTTTAATCACTTATAAAAATTTGGTAAAAACACTCACTATTACACCGATTACGATCTGATATTGTAACCAGGGTCATTTGCAATTCATTGGCGCAGAATTCATCAAAATTGACATAGCTAGTTTTGTGCATTTGGTTTGACTTGTATATGCGGCATACCGTATGACCGGAACGACACATATTTATAAACGATGAAAACCTATACGAATATATCTGTTTAATATCATCCACTATTAACTCGCTAATAATGTTCAGGGTCTTATCATTCGTATTATACGAATATAATTCTCCATCAGTTGCATGAAACAAAATATAGTTTTCATTTTTAATGCAATATTTTATATTAAAATTAAAAACATGCTCAATTATTATTGGTGTGTATATAACATCGCAACAATTCAGACCCCATATGAATACCGTTCCCATCGATGTTATGGCAAAACATGTCTTCATAACGCATATAATTGTCTCGATTTTGCAGTCAATGGGAAATATAATCTCTTTCGGCTCCCGTATGCACTCCACATCCCGTTCCCCTAACTGACCGCATATATTATCGCCCCAACCGTACACCTGTCCAGTGTCTAACAGAGCGAGTGTATGGCTATCACCACAACTGATAGCCTTAACACACATTTCCAACTGATTTTTATGTAAAACCTGAAACTCTTCATTAGGAAAGCCTTTGCGACCCAACTGTCCCCTCCAATTCGCACCTAATGTGAACACCCGGTGCTCTTCATTGACCGCCACAACAAAGTCCTGTCCGTTGAAAAACTGTTGTATTTTGCGGTCTTTTAGAGCCTCTATTTCATGGGGTTCTTCGATGGGCCGGCTGTCAAACACACCTAACTGTCCGTAAGTGTTGACCCCTAACCCATACACGCAGTCAGTTGTGGTGACAAACAGTACGTTATGTCCGTTTCGGTCGTCAAAAACATATAATAATTTAATTTCTTGTTTTAAATTATCGGGAATTTTGGCACAAATTTCAAAGTTTTCTAATAATTCTGAACACATTTTTGACATAAATAATAATCTATAGACCTTGTTCAATTCAACTGCAAGTTGTTAATGAATTGTGTGTTGAATGTATGACAGGATGAGCATTACATAAATGATAATAACTATGTGATTATATGAAATGTCGTTAAATTACTATGGTGATCTTTGATAAATTATATAGTTTTCCCACTTTAATAAAATATATCACCTTTTATATTAAGTATATTTGTTTACTGTATAAATGATCTACCTTCTATAGAAATTATCGGTTATATATTTATATAACTCATTTCCTGTTTACTATTATTCATAATTATGATTATACACTAAATTTATAATAATTTGATAAAATGAACATAATAATAATAATATTGTATCGTACAAAGTAATTTGTTTTGAATGGTATGTCTAGAATATTTGTTTTCTAAATAAAATTTACATATTAATTAAATGTAATTATTGTCTAATTATAACAAACAAAATACTGTACATGAAAATTTATAGCATACAAAGCTTTTCATTTGCAAACAAATATGTTTTCTATACAATTTAATTATAAAATTATACAATTCACTTATAGAGATGTCCTAGACAATTAATACTAAAATAATAAATGCATAAAATGGTAATTACCAATCGTGTGAATCATGAATATTTTAGTGTCAATAATTTTATAAATTTTTAGTATAACTATTTTATTGTCAATTATATAATATAATATAATTTATATTGATTCATAATAATATTTATTTTCTTTAATGTACTAAAAATTCATAAATAATTATAACTTAGCATGAATAGTTTAATTGAATAGATTTACTTAATACGGTAGTACAGTAAACTGCATTAATATAATTTACTAATTTTAAGTTCATAAATTAGCTACTGATTATTTATAACATTTACTAGTAAACAATGTGTTGACTAAAACTAGTATGAATAAACTTATTATTAAGTTAGACCATGGTGATTAGATGTTAGTACAATATTAAATAATAATAATAATAATATAGATTGATAAATTGTTTTCAATGTTATTAATTATGTGTTTCATTGATTTAATATGAAATAAATATAATTATAAAATCAATATTTTTAAATCAATTTTATGATAATGAATGTTGATCTATTTATACATTGATTTTATAAATTGATATGTTTACAATAATATATTAGACATTGATAAAAATGTAATTTTGATTTATTGTGCTTTTAGTTTGCTGTATCAAATTATACATTTAAAGTTCATTTGTCATTTTATTCATCATTAAAACGTAAAACTATTCAAATAAATAAACAAACCACAATTTTATTATAAACTGGCAACTAATCAAATCAATCTCAAGGAATTTAACAAGCTATCAGTTAGACAACAAATGGACATCCTAATTCACCCGGACACATTTCTAGTATGCGTATTTGAACTTGGTAACAAATACGCACCGTTACAATCCAACTGTAGTCTACTGACCGATTACGTGGTGGGGCTGGAGTGGGAACACCTATGTGTCGCCTTATTCATGGAGGGAACTGGTGGTGACTCTAATGGTAGATATGTATTGAACAACGACTTGTCAAATGGTATTGAATCGCGATTTTGGCTACAAATCAATATTAATGAGACACTGTATATGAAGTCACATAAAAAGGGTTTCCTAATCAGGTATCGCATGCACTCCCGACACAGTACTATATATAGCCCCCACCGCAAGGAGGCCCTGGGTATTAATGTTGAGAAATATAATTACGTTAGTATTGACTACAAGGAGACTGTACTCCGGTATATGACCGCCGATTATATGAGTAACTGTTTCCCTGGGGGTAGGGGTCGGGAGGAGTGTGTGTTTACGTGTAATATCCGAGAGTTTAAAAATAGGCTCCAGGCCATACCAAAAGGGTATATGAGCTATGAGTTAAGCGATGATAACATGTATTTTATAGACATTGATAAAAAGGATATCAATAAGACTTCTGTTAAGAAATTGATTAATAAATTGTGTGAAA